TCCATAAAAATTATATACACATTTTATAACTAAAAATATATACTATATACATAGTTATATTTAATGAACAAATATGACCTAAACAAAACAAACGAAAACATAATACAACAAATTATAAATTTCAGAAAATAAATATATTTATTAAAACGAGGACTAAATGATATCAAATAAAACTTTAATAACCTAATTATAAATAAAATACGAATTAAGGTAGAAATGTTAGTATTATACCATATTAAATACTAAGAACTGAAATGAAACTATTCCTATTGCAGGGGACTAAAAACAGAATAAATCCCAACACACTCATGACTAAAGTGCAACATGCAAAAATATGAAGGTCAAATATCTAAACAACAGAAAATAAACAAATCAACAATAGGACGAAAATTAAATGAACCATAAAATAAATAGACAGAATTAAAAACATGCAAACTTCGACCTAGGGACTAAAATGAAACATGCGAAAATTAACAGTTCAATGTATAAAGAACAGAAGCTCAATACAATACCACTCAGGACTAAAATTGAATACGCGTAAAATATGGAGACGAAATCAGAAACACAAAAACACCTATTTAAGGACTAAAATGTATTAAGCTGCAAATGAAAATGACTCATATGGAAAATGACCCAAGCGCAAAACATGAACCTTAAGGATTAAAATGGTAAAAACAGAAAATAAAAGATTAAAATAAAATAACAGAAATTAAAGTGTGAAAATCAGGAAAGATACAAAGATAACCGTCCGGATGTATTTTCTTTGATCTGCCGTCATCCACCGTCCGATTGTCCTGATTTTTCAATAGGTTGTTTGTGTTGGCATTGCGCAACTTTTCACCGTTCGGAATATTGATCGCAGATTCCGATCACCGGCAAGAGGCTAAAAATAGTCCGGAATTATTTTCTCCGATCCGTCACCGTCCACCGTCCGATCGTCCTGATTTTTCAATATGTTGTTCGTGATGGCCTTCCGCAACTTTTGACCGTTCGGAATATTGATCAAAGATTCTGATAACCGGCAAGAGGCTAAAAACTGCCCGGATTTGTTTTCTCCGATCCGTCACCGTCCACCGTCTGATCGTCCTGATTTTTCAATATGTTGTTCGTGATGGCCTTCCGCAACTTTTGACCGTTCGGAATATTGATCAAATATTCCGATCACCGGCAAGAGGCTAAAAACCGCCCGGATTTGTTTTCTCCGATCCGTCACCGTCCACCGTCTGATCGTCCTGATTTTTCAATATGTTGTTCGTGATGGCCTTCCGCAACTTTTGACCGTTCGGAATATTGATCAAATATTCCGATCACCGGCAAGAGGCTAAAAACCGCCCGGATTTGTTTTCTCCGATCCGTCACCGTCCACCGTCTGATCGTCCTGATTTTTCAATATGTTGTTCGTGATGGCCTTCCGCAACTTTTGACCGTTCCGAATGGTGATCCGAGATCCCGATCTCCGGCGAGAATCCGACAGATTACGAGAAGTGTTGTTTTCTTTTTTTTTCCCTCATTCCTCTCACGTTTTGGCCTCCTCTCCGTCTGGTCTCTCATAATTGCATCTCCATTTTATCATTGAATGTCATTTTGTCTTTTTCCCTTTTTTCTTCATTTGTTGCATCATTAGGTAGGAATAGTGAGGGTAGGTAATGGATTAGGTATTTTGTTTTTGACTTGGAAAATTGCTTAAACTTTCGGTGGATGAATGATTCTTTGAATTTGGTGGATTTGTTGCAGATTTCACGTGGGCAGCTCGGTTGTGGTGTTGTAACCGGGTCTGGATCCTGTAAAATATAATATGTAACATTAATAATAATAATATAATAATAATATAATAATAATAATATAATTTAAATATAATATTTATAACCCGGACAAAAACGGGTGTCTACACTTTCTTTGCAACAGGAGGGAAGAAGGGCATTGCTTGCTTCTCTCCTCACAGCTGGTTAGTTCTTTAACATCGATACCACTACTTTTCTCCCATTAGTTTCAACTCTCATAATCAGTTAACTTTCATGGTGTTTTGGTTTAAATAAGTTACTCAATAATGGGTAAGTGGTTATAGGTTTAATTGTTCTAATGAACTTTGTTTGACTGATTCAGTTGCTGCAATGCATGTCTCTGATGTGGCCGAGGCAGCTAGCACAAGTCGAAGAGCTGTAAATCTAGTCCTTACAATGTCTATTAAAAAAAATAGTCCTTACAATGCATAATTCATGCAATTTTATATTGATTCTTGCAGCTCAGAGGAGCTAAAATACCTGAGAGTGAATTCATAACTCTTCCCAATGGGCTCAAGTTTGTACCTCTTCTACATCTTACATATATATTAATTTCTTTGGCTTAGAGGAGAAAACAATGAAATAGCATATTTGATTTCTTCTGTATGTTCTACAATGGAAGTGATTATACAAATTTTGACTCTCACAATATTCTCCAGGTACTATGATTTGAAGGTCGGCAGTGGAGTCAAGGCTGTTAAGGGGTCTCGGATTGCAGTACGGTTGTGAACTAGTTAGATTTCGTTAAAATACTCTATGATGTAACTTTATGATCAGTTTTCATTTTACTTCCTACCGGAATGATGAACCGCGAATGTCGCTTAATTACTTATCATTAAAGTTGGGATACTTCCACCATGTTGGACCGCTGAGTCTCTAATATCAATGATCAAACGTCAACGGTGACATTTTGATGCTGTCTAGTATTTGATGAAAGCTAAAGTGATACAATGAGATAGGAGAGAATCTCAAATACACTTAAAACATACATATCGCCCTTGATAAATCTGAAAACATTCCGTTAATTGTGTTTGTTCATCCCCATAAGTTCGAATATTACTGATGCGGTATGGTTGTTTATTAGTAGGTTCACTATGTTGCCAAATGGAGAGCCGTCACGTTTATGACTAGCAGACAAGGACTTGGTATCGGAGGGGGAACGGTAAGAGCAAGATGTTATAGCCTTTCTTGTGCCTTATAACCAGAATTGTAATATTCTATTGATCCAGCTTAGAGACTCGGGGACATCTTCTGCCAGAAGATCAAACAGGGATTTTGTTTCTCGAGCCTGCACGATCCAATGTTTTGATTGCTAACCTGATGCACAGACTATAAATTCAAGTTTAGAAATCCACCCCAGCTTTGAGATTAATAATGTTAAGAGATACTTGGCCTAAATGTGGCTAAAGCTTTCTTCTACTGCAAACTCCGTCTCGTATTCGTACAAATTTGTTTAGCAATGACGTTAATGCAGAGTGCAGTTAACACAAATGATCAGACTGATATGTTTGAACTCATGCAGCCTTATGGATTTGATATTGGCCAATCTGAAAGAGGAAATGTGCTCAAGGGATTGGACCTCGGTGTTGAAGGATGCAGGTCGGAGGGCAGGTGACACAGGTGACACCTGTTTGTAGCTTGCCATTTCATCTATGTTTCTTGTGTATACATACACATACCATTTCCTTTTCTTGTGTATACATACACATATGCATATACCATTTCCTCAAGAGTATAACCAATAGGTTGTTGTTTCCAGCGACTGCTGATAGTTCCTGCAGAGCTAGCATATGGAAAAAAGGGAGTTCAGGAAATCCCTCCAAATGCAACGATTGAGGTAACAGTCATCTGTTTCTGAAATATTAGTATTGTCCCCTCATTTTCTGCATCTTTCTCTAACCTGCAGTTGGATGTTGAGCTATTGTCCATCAAACAAACCCCATTTGGGTAAGTAATTATGCATTCTTTTGTAGCTTTTCAATTGTCTGTGACACTTTGGTTTAAGCCATGGATTTGTGGTGCAGAACTCCTGTTAAAGTAACTTAAGGTTGATTCAAGAAACAAAAGCTGACAATTGGGGGAAAGCAGAACATTATTCTCTTCAACTTCAAATAAAATAGCTTCTTCTTTTGGTTATTTTTATTCTTATCTATTGGCTTCACTAGTCTACTTGCTTTTCATTTCTTTTGTATAAACTTGGTGTTTAATATATAATATCCAAACTTCATCCATCTCTGAGCAACAAAAAATATTTTTAAATCCGAATTAATTTTGTATATAAAAGTTATTGGTCTTGAATCAATTTTTAAATATTAATTTTTTTACTTGTTTATATAAAAAATATTTAAAAAATATAAGCATCTTCATAATAATATTAAATATCTTTTAAAATAAAAGTAATTTGATAATTTTAATTGAATTGAAATCAAGATGACTTATATTAAGAGGATATATAATTTTTTTTAATAGACTTGTTTTGTGCAATATATGTTCTGCGTTGCTTTGTTTTGTGCCCTTCCTTCATATGGCTATAAATAAGACGAGACAAATCACGAACTACTCAAGATCGATTCGATCAAGGCTCGATAAATACTCAGATTGAATGGACTCGACTCGAACTCGACTAGAGCTCTTAACGAGCCGAATCGAACTACTTGATATTCGACTCGAAAAGCTCGTGAACAACTCAAAAATATAATATATTAAGTTTTATTTTTTAAAAAATAAACTATTAATAATATTAACATTTATGTATTGATTTTTTTTAAAAAATACAATAAAATTTTCATGTATTTAAAGTTCAAGTTCCAGTTTTAATTTGAGGCTTCAATCAAGTTAAGTTTAAGATTTTTTTTTATTTAGAGCTTTTTCGAGATACTCAAGCTTCAGTTCAAGATTTCGAGTTCGAGTCGAGCTTGAAAATTTTAAGCTCGCGAGTTTTCGAGTCGAGTTTTATTTCAGAGTTTTCGAGTCGAGTCGAGCTCAACAATACTCGAGCTCGACTCGGCTCGTTTACGCCCCTATTCCTGCATATAGAATTTCTTAAACACCTTCCCAGTTGCCTGCTTAGCATAATCTGAATTTTGTACTTTAAAATCAGGACTTGATCACTTTTCTTCATCCAAAATGAAATAACATTCAAAATGAAGGATTTTTAAAGAAATTTCTTACATTTGCTTGTTACCAATAAGGTTTAGGCATATGGCTTAACACAAGAAATAAAATGAAAAAGTATCATCATTAATTGCCTATTTCACCAAAAACCAGGCAAACAAATGATGTTTACAAAACTGACTTCAAACTTGGACACTAATTGTCCATTTCTGCATCTCTGACTAAATCCAAACCCAATCTAGTGACAGGGAAAAGAGAAACGAGTACCCGTTTTTTCCTGCTTCTGAAGCAAGCATTGTTCGTACCCATGCTACACCTCGATTCCGGTAGAGAGATTATAATATACAGCTTTCGCAATGCCTGAACAATGGTCCTTTACAAGGAGCAAGCCAAGCTATCTGTAAGAAGATTAGATGTCCCCATCTGTTCACAAGCAATCCAGGCCATATGAGAATCTTACACTGTGGGGGATAACTACCCTTTCCGATCACTATAAATAAAGATCGGACAATCCACTATATAGACTGAAGAAAGAATGAACTTTTCCAGACTGTAGGGTTTAAATTACAAAAACTGGAACTCCACAAACTCTAACAGTTGTATTAGGAAAGTTACAAAACTCAAACGCATAAGCTTGAATAGCATCTCGCTGGTCGAGCTAGTCACACTCAGCTGTCCTTCATTTATGAAATCTTTACTGGAAGTAATGGAGACATTTAAAGATGACGAACCTAACAAGTTAAATTTCAGATACAATGTTGCAAACTGAAGCAATAAAACTTCAGGATAAAAAAGGATATAATATAATTAATGAACTGAACTTACAATCGTAGTTTGCCCATCCAATTCGTTGATGAGCAAGATCATATACAAATATCTTATCTTTTAACACAATATCTGCAAAATGAGTAAGCCACAAAGTGGTTACATTCATCTGTAAGAAAGTAAACAAAATGGTGAAATTATCACTAGTGCAAAATAGCAGGCACGAAATAGGGTCCAAGAGACCCGAATTGATAATAGTTCCATGGAAATTTTTAGCTTAGATATCATATGATTAGGGTATCATGTGAATAGGCCGAAAAGAAAGTTTCTTCAATTTTCAGTGGATAAGGATAAAATCAACAAAAACCCCATTTTCGTATTTAATCCTTGTAAGTACATCAATTTTAGATTATTAATTTTGAGTGTGGAAAGGAAAGGATCTATTTTAATATTTTTCCAATAATAAACCTCACATAAATGATATATAATAACAAATAAATAATGATAAATTTAATTTTAGACTGATTCTATATGAATTGAATGTTCCCCTTTTACTATCCATATTAAAAGAGTTGGTGAAAATTCCAAAGTATACAACCATATTTTGGTGATTCCTACGAGTCAAAATTATGACATGAGTTCAGTAAAGGTACAATTTGCCAAAGACCTCCAATAAAAAAGTCTCAACTTTGATGATTTTTACGAGTTCATGCAAAGTCACTAGCACTCGATATATACTATGGAGAAAACACAAAAATAAGTCCCAAACTCCAAGCTATATTCAATTCAAAGAAAACCATAACTGACCTCCTAAAATTGACATTCCACCCTGAACCTTTTGGAAACCAATGCACCACATTGTACCACCATCCTGCTACAAACAAACAAAAAAGGACCCATTACACTACATGCAGCTGAATTTCCATAAAAGCAGTCATTTTTACTTCATAATGACTTACGTAGAATTGACCAAAAGAAGAAGAAAAGAAAAGGAAAAAAAACTTACGTGTATAAGATAGTCTTCTGGTTTTAACATCATTGATGCACCACCCGCAAAATTTAGACTAACAGGAGGGAATAGCTCACTAACACTGAATACAAAGTAAATATCAGTCTCATTTACATAAAGTGCTGCTAGGTGCATGGGAAAACAAAAAATAAAGATAGGTATGAGATTACGACATAAGAGATAAAGCTATAGAATTGACCTGGTGGGGACTAGATAACACTGGTTTCCTTTAGAAATGGTGGGAGTAACAGATGGTGAAACAGTAGCAGTTATCTGCAAATTCAAACATGCAAGTCAACTTCAGAGCACATTACTAGTAAAGTAATGCAATATAACTAATTACCTAATGCTTTCAGGGTGGCAATCTCAGAAGAGATGTTTGTTTCCTATGTCACCATTTACATTGCTTTTAGTTTGACGAGAACTGAAAAAAACATTCATGGTATTCATACTTACAGCGCTAACAAATGGATCATATGCCTCCTGCACTAGGTATGCCAAAGTTGTTCCAGTGTCGACGATAGTACCACGATTATTAGATGTTGCAAAAACTCCTGGGTCAATTTGCAGCAACTGTCCATTGACAGCAATGCTCTGTAGAATTAAATTATAATGAGGCCTGAAAATGTTAAACAAGGAAATTGTCAACCTGCTACAAAATTTGTAGCCATATATTCCAAGTGAAACTGAAAGATCATATGTTTGCAAAAGAAATGTTGGCACAGTAAAGCCAGAGATTATTCATGAAAACATCCATTCACCATCAAAAAATAAATAACCAAATAAGCAAGTTTACGGCATTTCCATATCCCTTCATACGCCTAAACTCCTTCCTGTCCCACTATCAGAAAGAGTGGGAGATAAAAGGATATGAGATAGGAAAAAGGCCAAGCTTTTGCAAACATTTCCTAGGAGTAGTGGTAATATAAGGAACATGCACTAATAAGCAGAATAAAGTTCAAAACAACCAAAAGCATCTGACCCATTTAGACCGACCGAGGGAATAAGAAAACTTATGTCATTGCAGCATGAACATATCTGAACTGCTTTACCAAGAATATTTGAAAATGTTCCACTTCAAGAAAATAGAGCAAAACCATCATAGTAAAAGAAGCAAGTACAAAGGCTACAAAAAGTATGCAAGAAAGAGGACATACTGGGATGGAACAAGTGGACTATAAACAATGCTTGGCTCCAAAATCTCACCAAGAACCATTATACCCCCTCCGCTGTTATCTCCTTTCAGACAATGTGAGAAAACTCTAGGTGTTATTCCCCGTGATGACAATTGTGATATAACAGACAGATCACCTTGGCCAAAGCCAAATATCCCATCCACAGCTTTATCTGTCTTAGCTAAGTCACCAGACTGATATGTGCTGCACCTGTTTCCAACAATGTCCAGAGAGGAATAAGTTTTTATAACATGGTGAGATTAACATAAGAAAAACGGCAATTAAGTTATTATTTGATGAAAGACATAGCCAACAGAAGAAATAAACAAAATTGCTTTTTTGGAAGATGAAATATACTATGAACTAAATGATGAAGTTTACATTCCTTCCTCTATGGAAAAATAAAAGTGCACTAGCAGAACTCAACTAATTTGACATTAACCTCATTCCAGTTGCTCAATTCCACCATTGTAATTGAGGATCATAATAGACCAACATGATTGGCCCCTTTATTATATTTCCTCCTTGTCTTCCATTTATCTGAATGTTTATGGTTCCTTCTAATCCTATATTATCAGCAAAAAGAAAATTTCTATTGTCTCATGGAAGCTCACCCAAATACAACAAGAGCCGAAGAATTGGCAATCAAAGATTGTCCCAAAATAGCATCAAAATACAACATATCAGCTACATAATAACCAGAAGTCCCACTTCCATCTCCATACTGGAAGGAGTAAGTGCACTGATTACTCTGAGAACACTGAGTTGCAGTTGTTTGAAACTCTGAAGAACACACTGCATCCGAACAAGAAACCAGCTTAGCAGATGATGAACTTGAAGAGTCAAATAAACTGAGTTCAATCTGTACAGTGCACAACAAAACAAGTTAGCGATTACATTCTCAACTGTCACTTTCCCCCAAAAACTTGTCAAAATTATTGAGGTAAAAGGAAGGAATTTTACTCCAAGTTCACTGGATTGGGGACAATTAGTGCAAGAACTGCAAGTCACCCATAATATATCACTCCCAGTGTCTATCTGCACATTGAATTCTCTAGGAGGCGATCCAAGTTTCACCTTTGTGAAATAAAGCCTAAACAAACAAATAAATAAATACAAAAAAAAAACATTCAATAACAAAATCAATGCAACTATCTAGATTCCAATAGGTGTTAAAATAATCGATGAAAAGCAAAGGCAATTAAAGAGAACATGGACAAAATTGAATGACAAGAACACTAGCGATAGGACCAAAAAAAATTAAGGAAAAAGAAGACAAGTTTTCATCTTTGGATAACCCAAAGGGGTTAAAAAGTAATCTTCTTCTTTTCCTTCAATATTCATTATCTTCCACGTCTTCAGCTGTCAAAAGAAGCGTAAAGATAAAGCTGAAAACAAAGTAAATACGTAATCGCAATATTCAGTAAAAAGAACCTAAATTTAGCCAGTTTCGTACTTTACAAATTCATCAAAGAAAACCCATTGAAGAACATAAACTATAATTCGGATTAAGGAATAAAAGTTATAAAAAAAATTATGAGGTTAAATTCACTGACGAGCAAAAATAGCCCTATTAATGCAAAACCCAAAGAGAACCTTAAAGCCGTAAAAGTGAAAACAATAAATAAAGAAACAAAAAAAGGGTAAGCGAAAATCACCCGGCGGAATAGAGATCAGAGGATCCTTGAACAGAGAAGTCGACGACTCCACCAGCTAAACCCTGCAAGATTCGTGAGTGTCTGAGTTGGTCACGAGCAACAAGTTGGCTCAACTCAACTGAACCGTTCAAAGGAAAAGCTCTCTCCAGTGGGATAACAACACAGAGAACCACCGACAACGCTGCTGAAAGTTCCAAGATCAGCAGCAGACTGGGAGCCCGCATTTCGCAAAAGGCTTTACGAACCAAGTTTTTTTTTTTAAAAAAAAGGAAAAACAAGGGGGGCGTATTTCTTTATAAAGTTAGATTGAAATTAAAAGATCGACCTTGTTTGATTCTGTGCATTGAGAAGAGAAAAGAAAAGAGAGGAATGTTTAAGCAATGAGAGAGAATTCTTTTTAGAAAAGAAACTTGGAGAAATGAGAATTGTGTTCTGATGACTTTGCCAGCTAAATTGGGGGATAAAAAATATAGGCGTTAAAGAAGCAGACCTGGAAAGACGAAAGTGCCCTTGACAATAAATTTCAGTTGGCAACGATTTTGCAGTGAAATTTCTATGTAGTTCTGATAATACATGGTTTAATATATCGTTTTCTTTTCTATGTTTGGGTTTTGTTATAATATTATTTAAAGTTTTAATTAAATTTATCATAGGTGTCGAAACGATTTTTTCTTAAAAGGCGAAAAAATGTGAGATTTTAAAAACCACATTAATTCTTAATTGTCTCTTTTTATTTTAAAAACATATACGATTTAAAAGACATCTCGTTTCGAAAAAATTTGAATTTCCTTTACGATCGAAAAAGACGGTTCGAAGAGTCACCACCAATCTTTGATTAGGGTGTGATTGGGCACCCAAAAATACTTTGTCATTTTAAATAAAAATTAATTTTAATTAAAACAACAAATTGAGGTCTGCGTTACCAAAATCCGAGTTCGGAAGTCAGTTACGTGTGGGGAAGGATTAGCACCCCCACAACGCCCTAAATCGGTACCTAGTCGATTAATTAACGTCTTTGCAATGAACTTTATAAATTCGAACTTAATTTGATTTTTGATCCCATAAAACAATGACGTAAATTTAAAAAAAAATCAAAACCACTCAAACAAATTAAATTAAAATTACCAAGTCGTTTTAGAAAGATAAAGAATGTTTGATTGTTTACAAATATCGAGACCAGATCTTAAAGATATAACAACCTTTTCTCGATATATTTAAATAAACGAACATTTCCTTTTCTCTCGTTCACAAATTTTAGGTGACGAATCAATTTTTTTGTTTCACTTTCGGGATACACTTTTATTTTAAAATCATTAAAAGCGGACCTCAAATCAGTTATGACTGCCCACTTAAAACAATTTTAAATTAAAATGGTATTACCCTTAGTCCGATTATGTAATATGTCAAGTTATGCAAATGAGGATTTCATACAAATTGTGCAAAAAATATGTCATGCCAAAAATTAATTAAACAAAATTAAAAATATCATACAACATGATATACAAAAAATTATATACGTATATTTTAATTAAAAATCAATGCATATTAACATATTATGTACACATATGACCTAAATATAAAAATAAAAAACATAACATGCCAAACTATAAATTTAAAAAGTGTATATATACATAAATGTAATGATTAAATTTAAATGTATGTAAAATTAAATTTATAAATCAAAAATAAATCAGTGACCTAAACATAAAATACTAAAATTACAGGGTCTGATATAAATTTTATCTTATTCGGTTTAAACTAAAATAACATGGAAAATAACATAAATGACACTAGACATTTAAAACAACTAAGAAAATTTAAACAAATAAGCGACTGTTTTAGAAAAACACATAAATCTAGAAGGCCTAAAAATAATCTATCTCTAAAGTTATGGTGACTAAGAGTTAATTTACCCAACAATTTTATATAAAACCTAACTCTATGCTTAAACCTAGGCTAATTCACGTTGGAACCCCCAAAACACTTACCCCTGCCGCAGCTTCACTCTCCACTTTCCTTTTCAACTCTCTCTTTCACCCACGCTAAATTGAAATTTCAAACACCATAGCCATCGACCTAAGCTCCAACGAAGTAACTGGACTGAAAGGTAAACAACCTAACTCATCTCTCATTTTCTGATTATATTTGTTTACTTAAAAAACCCTTACGTAAATCTAACCATCAAAGCACAAAAACCTACCTTTGAAACTCTAACACCGCTTTAGACTCTCGGCCTTTCAACCCATACAAACCTGGTCACCATTCAACGCCCAGAACTTTCTCCTATGCGCCTACACCTTAAAACCAAGTAGAGGAGACTTTAACCGAGACCTTACACCACCCTTCTATCTCTACTTAGATTTAAACTCAAAACCGAGCCTCTCATACGCATGCAAACCCCTACTCCGACGACATTGTAATCTCTAAGAAAGGACCTTAATCACTATCACTCACTTACTTCGACTACACATATACCCGAAGGTAAACCCAACCGCTCTCACTTCTATTTTGAGTTTCGTACTTATTTTAAAAGCTATTAAAACAAATATAAAAAAATGTAACTGTAAATAGTCATGAAAATAAAATCTTACAGGAATTAAATTTTGAATCTGCTTTGTATCGCTTTCGAAAAAAAGGTAGGGTAAATCTCCGTTATATTGCTTGCTCTTTGAACACCGGCGATGGAATATTATTTACACCGTTTTCATATTTGCTTTGCTCTATAAAAAAAACGAATCTAAAGGACTCCCTCTTTTTTTTTTGTCTCCTCTCCTTCAAAATGCTCTGTGTAATCTATTATGTTCCCCCCCACCTTTTTGTGTTCCCCTTCCGTATATATAAAAAACTGCTAAAAACCAACATTAACCTCTCTCTTTTCCTCTGTAATCAACTGTTGTCCATTGGGCTTGAATTGGGCCCGCAACTGGTTCAAGGTCAGGTTAGGTTGTGATTGCTTTGAGTCTGCTTCGACTCGGCCCCGGATAAAAACGAGCATCTACAACTGCCCCTCTTTGTTCATTGTCGTGCAACGAGAATAGAGCAAAGATCAAAAGATGGTGTGTTTTTATCCAGTTCCATCTTCATGCTTTGAAACTTGATGAGGATATGCTCCCTCTTCTTTGAACAATCTTCAACCAGTGGGTTCGCTCCCTCTTGCTTCAAGGAATAGAACTCAAAATATCTTCTTCCTACGGGTTCACTCCCTCTTGCTTCAAGGAGTAGAACTCGAACAATCTTCTGTCTACAGGTTCGCTCCTTTTTGCTTCAAGGAGTAGAACTCGAACAATCTTCTTCCTACGGGTTCGTTCCTTCTTACTTCAGGGCTTAGAAATCGAACAATCTTCTGTCTACGGGTTCGCTCCCTCTTGCTTCAGGGAGTAGAACTCGAACAATCTTCTGTCGACAGGTTCGCTCCCTTTTGCTTCAAGGAGTAGAACTCGAACAATCTTCTTCCTATGGGTTCGCTCCCTCTTGCTTCGGGGAGTATAACTCGAACAATCTTCTGGTGTGATTCTGCTTCACTATTCTTCCATGAAGGCTCAACTTCGAAGGTTAAACCTGAAAATCAAACGTTGTCACTCATTAATGTATGCTTGAAGATTTGAAAAACATTATACTCGAAAAATGTAAAATTTAAGAGAATCTTTGAGAATCCATTTCTCTTGAGGGAGCTTGTCTCGCAACAACTAGATATGAGAATCTTCTTGGACTCGGCTGCCATCTGAATCTCTCTCTTCCTGGGACCTTGAATTTGTTAATGACTCCTCGTGCGCATTTCTTTTTAATCAATTGATCCGTTTCTTTATACTCGAGAACCTTTAATTTTCTCCTACATTTGATGATTTGATGGCTTACTCCAACGCTCTTCCAATAAGACTTAAAATGGCCCGAATGACTTATCACCTTGGTGTGAAAACATCCTACCCGAATGACTTATGGATGACCCGAAAGATTTATTATCTTTCTCGAAAGACTCAAAAATGACCCGAATAATTTAATCATCATGCTCGAAAGACTTACTGATGGCCCGAATGATTTAATCATCATGCTCGAAAGACTTACTGATGACCCAAAAGATTTAATCATTATGCTCGAAAGAATTCATCATCATGCTCGAAAGACTTACTGATGGCACTTACTGATGGATTTGCTTCACTACTCTTCAGTGAAGGCTTACAAATTACCCGAAGGATTTAATCATCATGCTCGAAAGACTTACTGATGGCCCGAAGGACTTCATCATCATGCTCGAAAGACTTACTGATGACACTTATTGATGGGTTTGCTTCACTACTCTTCGGTGAAGGCTTACAAATTACCTGAAAGACTTAATCATCATGCTCGAAAGCCTTACTGATGGCCCAAAGGACTTAAATTGTTTAATGGGTAAGAAACCTTTCTTATTTTTCAAAATCTCAAATTTCATATTTTAATGAGAAATATTTCTCATTTCACTTCATAAAATGACTTAATGGTCGGTCCACGTGCCCCGCTTCAAAGCAATGCTTCCTATGTGGATTGACCCCTGCGTTCCTCAGGTTCTGCCTCTCTAAACATAATTCCCCGTATTTGATGTTTAACTTCTACTTTTCAATTGTCGGGATTTTAACATCCTGCATCTTCTCTTTTCACTGGAAGATCTGTCAAAATCATGTGTTTATGCATGAAACACGAATGCAATGAAATGTATCATTGTAATGTATTTTCTTTTATGCAAATGATGTTCTCATGAATGCATAAATATCGATTCCATCTTCACTTGACTTCAAAGTGGCGAACTTAGTCTTCTTCTACTTGATCATTCCTCTCCGGGGTTTGCTTTAGATATCCGTATAACTCATAATTTCCAACTTGCATTTTTAAAGAACTTTCTGATCTTCTATCTTTTTGTTTTCTTTGTTTTCTATCTTCATTTCAGAGAAATTGCTTTCTCTCTCAACTTCTTGCTATGATCAGAAATACCACTAAGTTGCCCCATTTCTGTCCTTGGCTCAATTACGCTTTCTGAGTTGTTCTTTCTGGACTCTTCCATTGATTGATGCTCGGTTGGTTTGCTTTACAAGGTAAGCTCTGCTCAAATTCATGGTATGCCCCTGACACTTCAAGTTGTGAGACTCATTCTCAATATCTTCTTGGTCTGAATCTTGTCATCCCAACATGATCTGGGTTTCTAGTCATGCCCCAAAGTGGGTACTCATGGATTTCTTCCTGTCCAACATATCCTAACTTGAATGTTCTCATTCTGGTGTCACTATATATTAGTGTTGTCAAGTAGTTTGAAGGAGTCTCTTCACATTGTCATAAACACTTAAGAATTGACCAATTATTCTAACAAATGTCTTGTATTTTATACAAGCTGTAATATGTGCCCCTTCTGAATAATGAGACCATATTCTTCTTGGCAGGTTACTGACAACGTCCCAAGGAAATGTCACAAGTTTTATTCTTTAGTCTTTCTAATCTCTAAGACCACTTGCTTTCAATACTATGAAA